GCTGGCGTGTCCGCGGTGATGCAATGCGTCCTGCCGCTTACGTCACGGGCAGGCGTACACGCAAGGCGGCGTCGTCGTCGCGATGGGTCTCGGGGTCTTGCCTCTCGATGGTGGGGGCGATTGGGAGGGGGGGCGGAGGGGGGAAGTGATGTTCCCGACCGGCCGCCGAGATATGTACGGCCGGAGGTGCGCCGGCCCCGCACGTGCCGCGGCTCAACGGCGCGTACGCGCGCGGCGCTGTGTGAACTGTCATTTGAATTTGCCGGGCGTGCCCCCTCAGGGACTGAACTCTTCGGATATTTTGCGTCGCTGCGCGCGACACGGCATTCCGTCTTCAAAAAAATCATGATATTTGTGCGACGCTTTGTACTGTACAGTAGCCGAAAAAGCTTTGACACGGGTACTGTACGCACACGTGGCCTCACACGTGGCCGCGTGGAGGGATGCCGCTCTGACACCAGACTCGGTTTACAGTGGTGGGGAAGGTGGTCGTGCATTACATTGTAACGCACGCGTCAACATCAACGTCAACGCTTTTATTAACGTAAAGTACCCTTGTGTTGCGCTTCAGTACACGTGTCGGAAGCTCTCTGAAAGGGCGGCAATGCCTGTGAAAGGAAATAAGCGTGGTCACGGACGAGCACCGGCCAACGGGGGAATTGCGCCTGGAAGTAGGGAGCGGAGCCGCGGGGAGGACGCGAAGAGTAAGGGCGGGGACTGTGCGAAGGGGAAAAGGGGCGCAGGGGGGTCATGTGTGGGGCCAGGGGGTCGCGGGGGATGGGAGACGGAGCGGGGGAGACAGCGTTCCGAGCGCTTGAGGTGGCGAGAGGGCGCAGAGTAGGTAGCATAAAAGGAACCCGCGGCGGCAGGGGGGACGAGAAAAAGGAGAAGGGCATCAAGTGAATTGGAGAGGCCGAGATCAGGTGGATTCCTGAGAAGTCGAGTGGATTCTCGACGAGCGGAGGCTTGCACCGGGTGGATTCCCGCCAACAGCCTCTGGCCAGCAAATAAAACTTGATTTGACGGTGCCCAAGGGACCGGGCACAACACTTGGGTACTGTACAGTCAGCTCGCGATAGCTGCAACCCCCGATAACTGCAACCCCCGATAACTGCAACCCCTAACTGCAACAGTTGGACGTCTCCCAGCACGGGACCCTGTAAAATATTAGCAAAAAACTACATCGTTGCACACGTTGATAACTACAACGGCCTTTTGGGCGCCCGAGATTTGACAAAAAGCAAATGAATGCAGTCCGAAACGTCTGCAAAAATGTAAATGAAAGTTTTAAAATGCGCAAAGCCGCGGCAGTGCCATATAAATTGCAACTTCGGGCAACTGCTCTTGACTAAAGCGCATTTGGGGGTGAAACGGAGACGGAAGTGGTGCCTTATTTACAGTAGAGCATTACAGAGGACTCAGCCAAAAAAATCCGAGAGCAGGTCAGAGAAGGACAGGTGCAGATTAAGATGGATAGTTTTTCCGAATAAAATATGAGGTTTTTTGTCTTGCGATTCCATTGGCTTAGAAGTTTCCTTATCATACCACTCCGATAACTGCAACCCCCGATAACTGCAACACCAGGTGGTCTCCCTAGGTGTTGCAGTTATCGCGAGCTGACTGTACTTGTACTGTACCGTTACTGTACTCGAACAGCATTAGTGGTGCTGTAATGTATTTTCCCTCAAAATTTCCTAAAAGGATGAAGAGATCCATATTTCGCCTTGAAACAGGCCAGTGTGTTCCGAGCTGCCAGCAATGTACGATTGCACTGTCTAAAGTATTTTTTTGCAATATTTACAGCTAGAGCGTAGACGTGCGCAACATGTCACCAATCAAGACGTCTTCGAAAATTGGTCATTGTCGCCCGCCCTATTTCGGCGCCGCCCGAAAAAGTACAGTACAGTATGCCAAAAAAACTCATGAGGTCCGTTTCTCAAAAGGGACCGAAAACGCTTTCCATATCTCCAAAAAAATTCCCCCAATCAACCACAATCAAGACCAGTCCCTCCTCCGACCACATCACACCTCCTCTCTCACACCAGACCATCCATCTCGCCTCACCAGGCCATAGCTTCACTCCTTCCAACCGCCCCCGTTTCCCACACACGTCTCGTCTTCCCCTCCACCTTCGCCCGCGACGCCATGCATCCGCGTGCGAATACTCACCGAGTGAGGGGGGGTTGCCACCCTCGTTTACCCAAACAATACGTTGCTTAACGGGGACGTGGCGGCGCGGGGGCTGTGGCAGCGCGGGGGCTGTGGCGGGGCAAGTATGATATGACGGAGAAATGAATCCCTTCCAGCGCTTCTTCTTTGCGCTTCTTCTTTGCGCTTTGCTGTGTTTTTCCGCTTTCACACCGTTCTCCCATGGGATCGTATCAGGAATCGCTGCGTAGCCGTTGGCAGGTCGCAAGCCCGAGGGCCACCGCGGCTCCACCAGCGAGGTGGAGCGCTTCGCCTTCGGGCTCAAGTCATTTCGAGGCGGGACTCTTATCATGCCCGTGTCCCCTGGTGCTACGCTGCTACGCAACCCCGCAACCCCGCGATGCAGTCAACCTCGCCGAGATGACCGCAACTTCGCAATTTCGCCGCAACCTTTTCCCATGCACGTGGTTTTGACAACAGGCCTTTGCGCCCGCGTGGAGCCCGTCTTACGCACGGTCCAGACGCATAATGGCACGCCCGCTGTGCGCTGCTACCCGATTTAGGGGCCTTCGTTTTGACCGCCATGGCGTGATGCGAGCGAAGCTTGCGCGTCGCGAGCCGCACTAAGCCTTTATGCTCTTGTCGACAGCGTCGTGGATTGGTATCAGCACTTGAAGCAAGCGCACCTCGGCAAGCGCAACAGCCTCGAAACGAAACGAGTGGGCTCTGTCTCGCACAAACGCATGCCCTCGAGCACGCCGCGCCTGCTGCGAGGATCGACATTCGTTTGCGCTGACGCCCCAGAGCGCTACCACACGCCCCCAAAAATTTCCGATATTCTCCAAATCGACTTACAGCCGCTTACAGCCGCCTGAAAAAGGCGACGCCAGCGACCCTTTGCTCTCGCTTTCAAAACGGCGCAACTTGGTGAAAAACGCGTCACTCTCCGCCCGAGCGCCGCCCAAAGTGTCACGTTCTCGGCAAAGGTGG